TATATATATATATATATACACACACACACACACACACACACACACACACACAGTATATTGAAAGTTCAATACCTGACTTCACATGATGAGTATGAAAATGTATTAAAACGCCCTTTATCAGCCACCCTGGGGAGGTACCTTGAGTATGAATGCTTCAGAATGTGAAGTGGGGAATTCATATCGTGTCGGAAGTGAAATGTGTATTTGGCGGCTTGTGTTGGACTGTGTTGTGTCAAATTTCAATATTTCTCTTGAGTGTACTGGGCTTTTAAAGTGCCTGATACGAACACTCTTTTTTACAAGCATAAGCTGTACATAAAACTAATAACACTTGATGATTGAACATTTCAATAGGCACTCTTAAATATTCTTTTACCACCACTTTCAGCTCCTTCAGTATTCCATCAGCGAGATGTGACCCTCTCACAGCTGCTTTTACTTCGATACCAAATTTTCCTTTCTCCATGGGAATGATGATATAGGGTACAGCTAACGTAGTTTGGGCCCCCATTTCAACCTCCTGGCTGAACTTTAAGCGCTTGGAGGCTGCACTGCACACATGTGCTGTCTCGAACAGATCCACACGGACCTTGAACATAAAAGATGGAGAGGGGAATTGAGGGCTGGTCTAGTTTTACGGTGTCCACACATTGCAGCCAAGAACTGAATGTCAACAGTGTTCTTTTAAACATGGGTTCACCTTCTAAAACAGCAGAGTCAACGCAAACAGACTTACTGTGATTTCATCAGGGCTGTAGTTGTGGAGGATTGCCCTGATTTCAATCTGCTCTCCACGCACAGCCGAATAGGGAAGCTTGAGGTCAATGAAGAAATCCTTCCGTACTATAACCTCTAAAGGTTCACTGACACAGATTCCTATAAGATAGCGACAATTGAAAAAAGGTTACATGGGAAAGAGAATCCAGAGCCAGCCGGACATGATCTAGAAATTGAAATGAGGGGATCCTCACCATGAGTTTTGGAGAGACTAATACCCATGAACTGCCATGTTGTTATGGAGTCTTGCATCGGGACATAATTCACATGTGATGTGGTATCACTGGAAAAAAAAAAAAAAACAGTTTAGAATTTTGCGCAGGGGGTGTATATTTATATGCTATGTGAAGTATACGTTTTGTTTTGTTTTTTTGCACACAGCTTTAAATTGAATATTTTTCAATGAATAGGTGTACCTACAGTCCCTACCTAGTGCGTGTTTAGTATACACACATACACACACATTATTAGACCAGTTTCCTTACCAGTTCGGCGTTTGTCGAGGGCAAGCAGGCAATTTAATATCAGACCAAAGCCAGCTTTCAGGGAAATTCGTCCGGGTAACAATTTCAATATTGTCCATGTAAATGTGATCATTCTTCTCACCTTAAGAAGAGATTTGAAAAGAGTCATGAGAAAGTAGTGATTTCAGTGGGCTATGGATAGTGTCCCATGTGTGGATTTCTTACTCCGAGCTATTTGAAGGGTGTCTTGCTTCATCTCGGCTCTCTGGCCTTCCAGCTCCTTGCAGCAATACAAGAAGGCGTCGACACACGGCTTTCCATCACTAATGTACTCGCTGCGTGTTTCACAAGTGTATGAGAGAAGAGTTTCCCCCATGCCATTCAAACAACACTCCCTCTCTAGCCCTTCATATTTACTTGCTGAAAACAAAGCAAATGTGAAAGACGCAAAGGCCACAATCAGCAACTTGATGTTATGACGAATATTGCCAGTGATTTTTTTTTCTCAGTTGTTTAGCATACAATGACTAGAGGTGTTGAGAAATTGTTACCTAAGGTTGTGGTAACCTGTAACAGAGTTGAAGCTCGTTTGCTCCTGCTGGGTGAGGGACATTTCAGCTCTGGAAATGTAGCACACTTTAATCATAAAAATGATCCAGGTAGAGATGGCAGAATAAAAAACTGTTGGGCAGCTGCATTGTGTGATGCAACAAGCCTGACAATCAATTGGGACGACAGTGTTCAACATTTATCAAAATATAAAATGAAATAAAATAACTGCAAATATCAATGAGACAAGTTTGACCTGGAAAAGCCTACTCGAAAATCCTTTTTTTGTTTTTTTTTATTGGGACGACAGTGTTCAACATTTATCAAAATATAAAATGAAATAAAATAACTGCAAATATCAATGAGACAAGTTTGACCTGGTAAAGCCTACTCGAAAATCCTTTTTTTGTTAGTTTTTTTTTTAAACCAGGTTCTGCCTTTTTTCCCCTATTTCTTGCATTTTGCAAGACTTAATGTTGCCCTTTTTAATGAGAGCTGATCAAAAAAAAAAAAAACTTGCATTTTCAAGCTCTTTCTACTATTTTATGGACAGAGTGACTCACAGAGGAAGCACCTGCCCTTCCCAGGATGAAAATAATGCCCTTCTGCTAGAGCCCTTTTTTCTTCCATTTGGTAATATTAAAAAAAAAAAAACAATTACATCTCTGTCATCAAAAATAGGTTAATATCCGACAGACATTTATTTGCGATATTGTGATGATTTTGCCACTAGCTGCCTCACATACAAGTACTCATCTGGTTAATTTGGGTTTGAAAGAGTTTGTAGGCCCGCTTTAAGTGGCTACTGGTAAATCGAAAATCAATCAAAGTGAATCGTTGCATGAATTTGTGGTTTTATGAATCGATATTGGGCTATGTACAATACTTTGCACATTGTCTCACAGTTGTCACTGGGTGGTACCACCGCACTACGGTTCACTTACATTACGAAATGTCCTTCCATACCTATTTGTCATGTCCTTGTTTATGATGATACTAATGCAGCGTGTTATACCGGAGACAAATTCCTTGTGTGTTCTACATACTTGGCCAATAAAGATGATTCTGATTCTGATTCTATGGAAACGAAAATCGATTCAATTTTTTTTTTTCGTGCAGCCCTATTATTGCTTTATAAAGGACCGTCTCGCTGGGGCGTTCACGACCTACACCACATTTTGGCAACATAGACTACGTGCTTGTCTATCTGTCTTTCATGTAAAGTAAGAGACAGAAAAACAAATAAATCTGTCACCTTGTCGGTAGGGGGTTCCTTGTGCAGCGTTGGTCTCAAACAACAGCCCTGCATCATAGAACACACTCATTCCATCTTTGCCTCCACCTGGTGTGCAGCCTGTGTCGTGCTTCTCCACAGTTTCCCACACCTGTGAAGCAATAACATGTAAAGTTTTATTTCGCCTTCAAGGTACCGAACAAATCACAAATTACGTTTTTGCAGCCTGAGGATTTTCATCTTTGCACAGTATTTGTAGGATTGCTCAATTATGATTTCCTTAAAATGATGCACATTTTCATTGACTTGTTTGAAAGTCTTTCTTATCTGGCAGCACCGATTCTAATGAGCACCAAACAAAGAAGTCAAAAGTAGTTGCCTTTTTCTGGGTCAGACGATGCTTCTTGTTTAGAACATAAACGCCTTTGTCAACTGCCACCAGACCCACGGTGGCCTCTGGGTCTCCAGTGACCTTGAGTCCAAAAATCTTGCGAGGTTCAAAGGATGGTGCCGGTCTTGTTGATTCGAGTTTGAGCTAAATAAACGAGGGAAATGAATGAGACACAGATCAGTGTTTTGGAAAATCATTGAATCAATCATTTCTACTCGGAAGAAAACTTCACCACCACATGGGTGACCACTATGACAGTTAAACTCTCATTTTACCATGCCCATGCAGGAGTCCTTGACATCCACCCACACAGAGTCCGACACCACCTCATTGTTATCTGGGCGGTAGTAAGCTACGATTCGGAATGATGGGAGCATGTCTTTGGTGATGGGAACGATGAGAGAGATCAGAACTTGGCCAATCGTCCTGTGACGCCCATATTTCACGAGTTGTCCTCTGCCAATGATCTGAAGAGACAAAGCTCAACGTTCATCTGTGAAAATGACAAACAAACACACACACACGGTCGGGTATAAAAAAAAAAAAACTCTCACCAAGTATGTGATGTCAGTATCTCGAGTCGGTGCCCTGTTTAGATTGAGGTTGATTTTCAGGTTATCTTCCACATCTAGGTCAGCTGTGTCCACACCTGCAAAAGTCACATTTTTAAGATGACGTACTGAAATTGCTTCTGCGTTCCAGTACTTGCAGTGGCGGATGCTGGTCTGTCAAGGAGGGGAAGCTCAATTTCGGCCAACATCCTAAAATGTATCCATGTATTTATATGTGAATTCTTCTCTCCGTTCCTTTTCAAGAAAATGATCTGTGACGCTGTCATACCAACAAGGTGTCTTTTCCAGGGACTTAACTAGTGTCCCGCTGCTCGGTTAGGACGCAAACTGTGGTGATATAAGTCAGTCTGCGAACACAAGCAACTACAATAAAACCCACCAGAAATAAAAGATTAATTTGTCGCTAGTCGTTTTCAACAAAGAGAGTGTCGCTAAGATGATTAGAAGAAGTCTCTAGTTCAACTCAGAACAGAATGAGAATTGAAAAATGCTCCCACGGATGCCTACAGCTAAAGATCGGTGATTGGCTCATTTCGCTGTCAATCAAAAAGGGATTCAGACTCAGACAGATTATCCAATCATCATGCAGAAAAGCTGAGCGTCCGGGCCAGCCGATAAACGCCCACTGTCCATAGACTCCCAGAGACACTGAGCGTCCGATGGGCAGGACAAAACCAGCATTTATCCAATGACTCGTCTCGTTTCAATGCATTGGGACAACCTACTGCGAACTCCCGAGACACCCAGCGTCCGCGCTGCAGACGCTCAGCGTCCACACAGTTTAAAGCACGGGGAAGCTGCGGGAATGATTGAGAAGAGAGTCGCGTCGTAACCAGTAATAAGTAGCTGATTCGGAACAAAAGTTGAGGACATTGTAGCGCATATTTAGTCAATGACATGTACACACAATTGTATGTACACACATATATTTGATCACTTATTTTTTTTTTACATTTTAGGGGAAGCTGAGCTTCCCTTGCAGTCTTAGGGCAATCGCCTCTGAGTACTTGTACATGGGATGAGAATAGCATCCTTTTACCTATGTGAATGTAATGTTTGCTTTTGGTAGTATGCGGGATGGCTTCCATTGTAGCAGTTGCTTGTCTCGCTCTGAGAATTTTAGGATCATTGGTCCATGCCTGCAGTAAAACACCAGAGACAAGCAGACTATGGTAAGTCTTTTTAAAGTTGACAAACTATATGAGAATAAAAACACATGCTGTGAGGCCCCTAAGAAAGACCAAAATGCTGTGTTTGTCCATGTCCGTAGTGACTTTCACTTGCACTTCAAAACAGGAAAGAGACTTACATTGATTGTCAATTTTGCGTCCCTTGCAACTGTATTGACAGTGAGCTTGGCGATGCCGTTGTCTGAGGTGAAGCCTTGCACCTCACCCGGGTTCACCACCACAGGAAGACCTCGTGCTGGAGTATCGTCAGGATTCACAACTTTAAGCTGCCTCCCAAGACACACACACACACACACACACACACACACACACACACACACACACACACACACACACAAAAACAAAAAACTTGCTTCGTCAGCAAACATTCAACAGTTTTTCACTCAATGTAGTTATTATAAGCCAAGTTGGATATGTTTGCCATTGGAAGGAAAAGGAGAAATATTTTCATAAAATTTGAACTTGACACAATTAGAACTATATGATATTTCATGACCATCGAACACTGAATCAGTCGCAACATCAAAATGGAATGAAAGCCAAAAAAAAAAAAAAAAAAAGAGTACCACTGCATCATGATTGCAACTGTTTAGAATACCATAATTTCTGGACTCTTGACCGCACCTGATTATAAGCTGCACCACTACATTTTTAAAGGAAAAAAATATTTTGTACACACATAAGCCGCACCTGTGTATAAGCCGCAGGTGCCCATATTGTAACATGAGATATTTACAAAGAAAGACGGTACACAGGCGGCCTTTAGAAAAGTCTTTATATAAGCCGCTTCATGAAATAAGCCGCAGAGTTGAAAGCGTGTGACAAAAGTCGCGGCTTATAGTCCGGAAATTACAGTAACGTATTTGCTAGAATAAACCACTGAGCATTCTTATTTAAGTCAGATATTTTCAATATGGCTCTTGTACTGGATCTGTCAGTAAGTAATTCAAATTGTATTTACAGTGCAGTATAGTACATTTTTAATAAGACTCCATTGGCACTGTCATTGCTGCACTGTTAAAAGTTGTAACACTAAAGTAGATTTTTGGTTTTGTTATGTACTGTATAGTTTATTTTCGAGCCTCGGTTAAATCCACAAATTCACACAGGAAAAATGCCAGCTGTAAAATTAAAAACGTAACATTGCTTGAGCGTTAAAGTGTACAAACAATTGACACAATGCAAACGAGAAGCTCTCATGTTAGTGCAAACAACATTAGAGGTGTCCGGGCCGGTTTACGTGAAGCCATCAAAATGATTTGGAATTTTCTTTCTTATTGATGTTTTATTATAAACATATATGCACTTTACCGTAACATCAAAGGACATTCCGGGTTTAAAATATTTGGGCGTCTTCGTGAATTCGATGCGGTATGGAGATGTGACAATCTGGATGCCTCTCAACTCGGCTTCTACCATTTCACTTCCTATGAAGACACACAACAATGCATGTTTACGTCTACATAACTGGAATTAAGTGTTATCCGTTGCAGGCTGAATGGGTGTAACTCTTCCGTGAAAAATCTTTCAGAACATTTTCTTACCACTCAAGGTCATTACGCTGACCGACACAAATATGTGACTTCCCACCAAATCATCCATATTCGGGACCGTTTGTGTCATCTGTGCTCTCTTCAGTGTGACAACTCCATTGCCTGTCTCGATCTAAAAGTAAAAAACACAGACAAAATTTCAAAAAAAAAAAAAAAAAAAAAGAGATATATGAACATGAGTGATCTTCACTTGTCGAGCTCTGTCAAAGAATTAGATTTTGTATACACAGTTTAGTTCGCACATCAGTACCAGAGCATGACTTTGCATTTGCTGCACTAACTTCCTCCACTAAGTTCATGCGTTTGTATTCCTTAACCAGTTCGCTGTGGCTGCTCTATCATCATTTAGGTGTGAAGAACATATTCTCGTTGCTTGTTATTTGCCATTTGGTAAAAAAATGTCATGTTTAATTGCTAAAACAAAAAAAAAAAAATTTGGAATTAAGATGAATACATCATTCCTTAATATTTTCTGTCATAAAATGTATGTGGAGAATAATTATAAAAAGGCAATGGATTGATTGATGAATGATTGTTCCTATTGACCAAAATAAATCTGTTTTGCAGTATATGTGCTTTGTGGTATTATTTAAAATCCTGTATGTACCTCATAGTGTGCAGTCTTGCAGATGCCATATTCGGAAAATAGGATGCAATATGAGTTACAGTTTAATACTTACAGGCACTCTCTGAAGAGATTGCGGAAAGCTCCTCTTTTCGCCATCCTTTAGAAACCCAAAGACCACAAAGGCCGTCCCATCTACCTCTCTACCAAACAGATACCTAGATCACATTGGGGAAAATTAGTGGCGTTCATGATCAACAAGGGATGTAAAACACAGGACGGCACTTTTTTGCACCAAAATGACTCCCACTCACGTGGCTTTGATGTCAACAGTGAATTCTTCGCTATCCTTATAGAAGAAGGGGACCAAAGGCGTTAATTTAACTTCAAAACTCGGGAGCACTGTAAGTTAGGAAAACATTTGAGTGTTACAAATTGGATCAAATTTAACACACTTTCTGTGAAACAGATCACAATCAAGTAGGCTCTCACCGTACTCTTTGACCTCAAACTGTGCATAGAAGCTTTGCTGTGGATGACTTTGGAACTTGGCGACTATTTTCCACAGTCCAGGACTACACACAGAAATTCAAATTCAAGTTTTTCAAAATGTCTGGAAAAGCATGCATTTGTGTATTCAATCTATCGTACACTTTAATTACAGATTTACATTTGAGAAATGCCACTTAATTTTTTATAGGATTAGTCGTGTGTGTGTGTGTGTGTGTGTGTGTGTGTGTGTGTGTGTGTGTGTGTGTGTGTGTGTGTGTGTGTGTGTGTGGCCTTTTTTTTTCT